AAGAGTCTTAAAAGGCAAAGAAATTGGATATTCTTCAATAGCTGGGTTAGTCACCTGATTTCAACAATACAGAGCATCCTTTTCCGTTACTGAAGATAAAACTGAATGGAGAGACCCAAACATAAGCAACTGAAAGCGGCTGCATAAAGTCCTTACAGAGCATGTCAAGGGAGGAAATGCAGCATTTGATGATGTCCATGGGTTCTTGACTCCCATTGATCAAAATGAAATGGATTTTCTTCCAACGGCTTAACAGTTGTTGCAATGCTTTTGTCAAACCCTTTGAATTAAACCTGATGGTCTGCATCTCAATCACATCTTAATTCATTTAAAATTTACTGTGGTGATGTACAGGGACAAAATTACATGTATATATGCATCTAAATATTTATGGACCTAACTGTATATTGCTCCAGTGTCCTCAAAGAGGTCTCACACTAGCTGAAGTACATTCAGAATTCTTTCCAAAGGTGTTTCCAGGTCGTGTAATTTCCTAATGTCGCTTACATTTTCTCGCTCTCTCTGTCCTTGCAGTGGGGATGGAGGAGTTGCAGGTGATTAAAAAGGAGCTGACTCTGATAAAGACACAGATCGATGGGCTGCTTGACAGTCTTGACAGGATGGACACACAGAGGAATGACCACAAAGGTGAGACACTCATTCAGAAAGACAGTGGAGTCGGGTGGCTGTGAGATCGAATGATAGATAATCTATTTGCACATCAGAATCATTTTAAGGAGGACTCCGGCAATATGCCACGTTCAGATTCCTGCTTGATTAGCTCCTCCAGTCACAACCCCAATCAAAACGATTCAGGATCTGTACTGCAGGGAAACTGGGGGATGGGAATGCAATGCATGGATGGAGCCACTCTTATTTTACCTGACAAATCAATTATTTTCCCCCAGTCAGGATTTTTTAAAAAGTTGAATCCAGGCAGATATAGGCTGTCGGGGGTGAAGTGTATAGATTTATGGTTGGGATCAAATTATGGAACATGCTGAACAAACAGCGTGGTTGAAGTAACTGACTGATGAGACTTCTGCAAACGCAAATAATCAAGTCCTGTGAACGGCAGCCGATCGCTACACACAGAAGGAAGTGGTGTTGCTGCCCTCATGTGGACATCTCCAGGTCACTGCAGCTGGCTACGAAAAAACGTCTCGGGCAATAAAGGACAACGCTCTATTGTCCTCCTTAAGGAAATTATTTTAGCCTCTGCCTTAATTAAACTGATCATAACTGAAACACTGAGTTTACACCACTCCCTCTCACTTGATGCAGTTCAACCTCCTCTGAGCTCCCAACCCCTCAGTCACTGCTACACTTAAATGTTGTTGACTAAAGACAGTACTTTAACCTTGAAGCCATTATCACAACATTCGACTGAAAAAACAGTCCTGGACAACCTTCATTTTACTATCTGTGGATTTGCACCTGCAAAAGTCTGTGTTAAAACTCTCCTGTCTACTTTGATTGACCTTGGCTGATAAATAGCTCTCATCTTCATATTAATTTATCTCCAGCTTTGCTTCATTCCCCTGTCCCTCACTGTCTAGCCTTGCCATCTCTCATCTCCCTCTCGCTATCATCACATCTGTCCTTCATCTTGTCACTCCCACTCATTTTTCTGCCTGTCATCTAGTATAAAATCAGAGAACACGAATTTTCTTCAATACGCTGTGCGAACAGCAATTAATCTCAAATAAAACTGCGAATGTCGTGTGTACATATGTTTATTCTTTTTCTTTCTTTCTTTTTTCAGGGTCTCCACTGAGAGAGGACAGTCCAGTTGGCTCACCATATGCTGCATCACCCAGCAGCCCAGAGCACTCCCTTTCCTCCCTCTCCCCTCCTAGTTCCCGCCATCGAATTCACAAGGAGAGCCCTGACCTGAGAGAGCCTGACGATGACCACCACACGGTGAATGATGTTTATAAAGCATATGCTAGTTTAAGGGGATACTGATGCTATGACCAAAAAAAGTTTAATATTTTGTCTGGAACATTATTTTGGTCTCTGTTAGGACTACATTTTGTGAATATGGATGGGGAGTAATGTTGTATAAATGTTTTTTGGGTTTTTTTTAGAAAACATTGTTTTTACTTGAAAGTCATACAGGCAAGAAGCCCACATATTTCAGTCTTAAGAGTGGCTTGGACATTAAGCAAGACTTTGCTTCTTGAAATCAGCGTATACTGGCATAACAAAATTTTCCTGAGTCATTCTGAGCTGGCAGTTAATGAAACGCCTTCTTTGTTTCCCTCCCACTGTCTGTCTGCCTGTTTGTCTGTCACAGATGAGCAACCACAGCTCTGACCCTGAGGAGGAAATATGAAGGAGGAATGTGAAAAAACGTAAAAGACATGGATAAGGTGCCAAACATGGAGGAAGAGAACCTGAGCCATCAGGCTAACACCCACATCAGAAGCTCAACATAGGGTGTACATATCAAATAACATAATGCATTTAATTGAATCACAGCAACTCGTTTAACGTGACCATGATCCAGATACAGATCAATTTTGAGAAGCAAGTACACATGCATCCAACTGACCAGAATTTGACAGGCTTGCCTAAGAGAGTGACAGATAGACCGTGACCTTGCTGTAACAAATAAACAAAACAGAACGATGAATCTATCAGTTTTACATGTCTACCTGAAATGAACCAGTTCTACTGTATGAGTGAGTTTGCACCAACAGCAACACTCCAGCATGAATCTCAATGTTTCAGCAAAATAGATATGAATCATTAAATCATAATGAAACAAACCTGCCAGTTTATTTTGCTCACGTCACAGGCGGTATAAAAGATGGACGTAGCTACCGTGATGTCACACACGGTTTCTGAAGTCCTGTTTTGAAGCCTGGAGATGAGCATTTGGCATACTGGAGAGTGACGTCTCACATGCTAATGAGCGTGCGATTTCGTACCACAGATAAGCCTCTATTTTGAAACACGGTATTACCCAGGTTTATAAAACAAACTAATTTCTTTTTTTAAATTCAGTATGACCAAAAACGAGTGACAGAACCCATAAACTGAGCAGGAATGTGTTTACAGGGGTCAAGTCAGAAAGTCATTTTCCCATGGACTTCTAAAGGACCTGAAGTCTTTGTGCAACCACACTGGTGTCTATCAGATAGTATGCAGGTTTTCAAGCACTTCCTCATTAGTTTAATTTTTCACTTCAGATTGTACTTTTTTACCATGCATGGGTCACTCTGGGGTTTTTTCTTTGTTTTTATGAAAACAGATGACATAGATTAATGTCAGACTTTACACCCATTAATCATTTATAGATACTGTTAATATGAGTGTTTCTACAGCTGCTTCATCATTTTGTTTGGGTTTTTTTTCCTTTCCCCCTGGAAACAGCAAAATCATTCAGTGTTACAAAATGTCTAAAGGCCTTAAGGACCTTGAAGTAAATCATGTACAAAACACATAGGACTAGATATTAATTAAGCATGGGGTTTTCTCAACCATGTAAACATGCCACTATTTCCAAATTAAGACTAGAACTGGAATATTGTGTGGACAGTATAATGAAAATGAACTCGGTGTTACTTCAAGTATTCTAAACTCTGCACACAGCTCTTTCATTTTTAAACCTTAAGTCATATTTTTCAGATATCAGAATTTAGCTGGATAATCACTCAGGAGATAAATGGTTTGTTTTCCACCTGTAGGTATGAGTATGAATGATATACTATACCCATTAAGTATTTTCAGAAGGAAAGAGTATTTTATCTCCTTTAAGTGTATTAGAGTAATGTTATAACTCTCTTCCTCTATGTATTAGACACTTTAAGATGTGCGAAGACCCAGGTCAGTGTAATAATGTGTATTATTGTATACTTTACTGTAATTGTTTAGCCGTACAATTTTAATCTTGCTTTAGGACTTCCGTGTGTTTTTTAAAGAAAATAATGATATTATTATAATTCCTATGGTGTTACATGTTTTTGTTTGCATTCTTAAGATATTGCCAAGTGGAAATACTCATTGTCACTGTAGTAAAAGTATTTTCATATTGAGTATAAACATTATTTGTGGTGTTGTGTTTTTATTCTGAAAGACCGAGGCAAAAGCAGACATTTGATAAGACTTTCCAGCAGCCTGTGAATTTCTGCTGAGTCAGGAAACACTGAAACAAAATATGACTCTTTTTTTTATATATATGTCAGAGTTTGAAAAACAAAAATCCACCTGCAGCCTTTCCATCAGCAGCTGTCTCTTTAGAAAGCTGGCTTAGCCTGAGAGAGATAATTAAGAGAGAAAGGGAAAGCTTTACTGAGCTGAGATACGGAGGCCACATGGGGAAAATGGCCAGGTTTCAGTTTAATTTAGGCCATAGGTCACAAGGACCTGAAAGGGTACTAAAAACTAAGACATGTAAAAATCTTTTGCTCTCTTTTTCTCATCAGTAATAATATGAATTATTAATAAACAAACATGAGATGAAGACATGAAATGAAATGCAGCCAAATAGGACAGCCTGGTGATTTTTAGTGATTGATGATGCACATTAACCACATTGCCGTCTTGCGCTCTAATGTCAGCATGTACCTGATGATATAGTTTGATATGGAAGCATCAGAAAAAAAGAACTGCACTGCTAAAAAGTCACCATTATGAACTGTGAAGCAGAGCTCTGCTGTCAACAATAAAATCAACAAGTCTTTATATTTAACAACTCTGATGCTGAACTCCGGGAGCTGAATTTGAAGCTGGAGGTTAAGGTTGAGTGGTTCATATAAAATTATGTTGTGAATATTCTTTTGTGAAATTCAAGCAGGGGGAAGATGTGAGAATGCAACTTTGTTACTTTTAATGCCATTTACTGTGCTAATCTGCTCGGCCCCAGAGGAAGCAACTTTAATCATCCAAGTTCAAAGTGCTGAAAACGAAGTGTGACAAAAGGAGCTCTTGCGTAACTAGCGTGCTGTTGACAAAAAGATAAGCACATGTGAACTGAATGTCATACTGAAGAGGACAGTGTTCAGAACTTTGTGGGGGTTTTCTAATAAAGATCTGAAGCTGTTACATATACCGTAACATTACATTACTCAGTAAAAAACTGCAAACCCAGATTTTTTATTCATCAGTGCTCATGAGCGCATCCAGGCTGCAGCAACTGAAGAGTCAGATTTTGCCTGGTAATAAGGTAAGTGTAACATTTTAAGAAATACATGATAAAAGTGAAGATTTGTGATTTTAAAATAAAGTGAAACAGCATTATATAGTCGATAGGTTGTTAAGTACTATAACTTATGGCTGAGGTGACATTAGTTTTAGTTAACAGTTCAATATCAAATATAACAAAATATGCTATTTTTAATTATTGAACACAGTCTTGTGGCAAATTTAAACCAAGGGTTCTGTTGTGGTTGCTGTCTAAAATCTTTAAAGTGCCAAAGATAGTTTAACATTGCAAGAACTCACTAGTGCTTTAAGAAAACTACACCAGCATCAATATCTCATTTGTAAGATGCAAATGTGTGGATATTGTTTCATCTTAATATTACTATTTTAATGTGATTCCTCCATATTAAGCTGCTCTGTTTAAAGTCCTATGTCTTCGGTCTGTAGCCCACAGCAATGTCAGGATCACCTAGTCCTCTGACCACACATGTGCTGAACACTGCAATGGGTGTCCCCGGGTCAAATATGGCCCTCAGCCTTTATCAACAAGACCCCTCCACAAACACCTGGAATTTAGTCACCACCGGGTAAGAACCTGGAAAAAAAAAAGCATCACCAAGAAACCTATAATTAGTTGAAAATCTCAAGGACTGCTGTAAGAGTTGATGTCTTTGTGCAAAGCTCTTCGATCTTATGCTTTTTGAACAGGACCACTAATGATGATGGACGTTGCCCTGGACTTATCGCAAAACAATCATTTAAATCTGGTGTGTACAAAATGCATTTTGAGACGGCTCAGTATTGGGCGAGTATGGGAGAGACCTGCTTTTACCCGTATGTTGAGGTGAGGAAATGCTAAAACTGCTGATATCTACGATTTACTTGTGGTGTCATCACAATTTTTGAGACTAAATCGGTAAATTTGTGTCCAATTTAAACCATTTGTATGGACTTGAATATTAATCTTATCTCTGTAATCTTTCTGTTTTTCTTTTTTCTTCTTGCAGATTGTCTTCACCATAAATGACCCTGGGCAAAAGTACCATATCCCTCTGCTTCTGAGTCGTTTCTCTTACAGTACATACAGAGGGAGCTAGATATCAAGCAAGAGGAACCTCCTGAGATTACCTGTCAGCTGTTTGACACATCACATGATGGCACTGAATGAACTGTCACACATATTGGACATATTGACAAGGCACAATACTCCCTTTCAATTATTCTTTTTGTTGTAATAGTGCCACAATACCATATTTTCTTTCTTTAAAAAAACAAACAAAAAACACTTATTAATATATGCTGTACTTTAGTCTACCATATCAACTATTGTAAGCTGTTATTTTAAGATGTGTAACGTCTAAACTATCAAATAATACATCTGTCTAAATCACCAGTTTCTGTATGTTATACAAATTGAAACATATTGATTGATCAATTGTGTTACATGTGCACTGCCTTTAAAAAGACAGTAACCTTCAAGAAACCCCTCCAGGTCCTGTGAAACCTGAGAGTATATCATCACAAGAACCATACAAATCGCTGTAGGATAAAGTTAAGATTTTTCATATTTCCAGTTAGAGATCCTTCTTCCAGTATTACCCCTATGAGGTATAAGTAATTATTGGTGGTAACTTTGGCCACAGCCCTACCCTAACCTTATATTTTGGAGAAAAATCAAACGGACTTCCTGGGAAAAATGTTATAATGTTATAATGATTGCCAAGACTTGGGAGAATAAAATATATCACTTCAGAAGCATAATGATACAGTGCACGACTGAGTGATCCTGACTCTCTCACTGATTGATCGAGCCTGTCGGATCTGTTTTTCTGACGTCGATTGTCCTTCCTTCAGTTAGGCAGGGCCTAGCCTGTGATAGCCGTTTAGTGGGAATTTTATTGCGATACACCATCCCAGTTTTGACTTTTAGGTCAATATTACACTTATAAAAAATGGCAGACGAAGAATTAGAGGCGATAAGGCGGCAAAGAATGGCGGAGCTACAGGCAAAGCAAGGGGTAAGAACCGAATAGGCACTGGAAAGCATGGTTTCACCCGCCTTATATGGAAATGCTGAGTTCAGTATGCTGCTAGCTAGTGTAGCTAAAACAAAAACAAACCACCACTTAACTCTAACTTAAGGGATATACACAGCTAACTTAATGAGCCTCGTGTTAGGTGCAGATGATATTTGCTTCCTCATCTAGATGTGTTAACATCACCATAGTGCTAGCTTTGTATCAGTCAGCGCATACCCTCTGAAAATCAAAGCGCTGGCTTGTTGGAACAAAATTGAACACATTTTTAGACTTGCTACTGATGGAGTGGTCGTTGTGCTTCCTCCTTTCTACAGATAATTTGTGTGTGTGTGTCTTTATCTAAACTTTGACTTTAGCACAGCATGTGAGTAAGCGGCAGCAATTTCTGACGTGTTTGGTGAACTGTCAGTAGTCTAATACATTATCATATGTCAGAAATAAGTATTTATACTAATTCACATGCAGTGCAGTGATTAGAGAGTCCTCACGTGTCTGGGTTTCTGTCATTGTTTTTGAAAATATTTGACACTCATAAATTTCTATTTTATGTCTTTTTGTGACCTCAAAAAAATACAATGATCGGTGGGTTTTAAAGCTCATTGATGATATCCAACTTACCTCAAGAAGACTGTAATAGGAACTTTTCACTGAATGTGCCTATTTAAAAAATCTGTCATATGAGTTTTGTTTGTTTGTTGACAGTAGTCTAACTTTATTTGTTACAAAATAGAGAACATACTGGACTTTAATTCATTGTCTAGAGGACATTATAGGGTACCTACCATTAAAAAATATCCAAAGCAACAAATTTACAAACTCGATTAAAGATAAGCCATTATGGTATACTTTGCTATACTGGTTTAAGTAAAATATAGAATTTTTAAAAACAAAACAAAGAAACTTGAAAACATAACCAAAGAGATTGCTCTCATGGTCCTTCTTGTATCGTCAGACCTGAAAATAACAGCAAATAAGTTACTTTATCAAATTTTCACCATTACCAACATTAAAGTACTGTTTGATTGGTGGATGGAATAAAATAAAATGTCTACCAGTTATCTGAATGTATAAATAAAATCTGTATTTAATGGTGCTGTCCTGTATACTTCCAGGAAGGTAATAATCAGCAAGCAGAGGAGGCCAAACAAAGGTACGATGTGTAATTGATCTAAAAAGAAACTACTTTAGCTGAATTTTTCCTGTATATAGTACTTGTACTTGCATAAAGGACTGTTTTTTTTAAGACTAACTGTTATATGCCTTAAGTATTGCACTTTTTTTGTAACTGAACCAAAATATTTCCATACAGCAGAAATGTGTATATATAACTTCAGTTGAATATATTTTTTCCTATTTAACTCAGTCTTGTTTATATAGTGCCAAATTACAACAACTGTCACCTCAAGGTGCTTAATATTGTAAGGTATAGACCCATCACATTAATACGGAGAAACCCCAACAATTAGATGACCCGCTGTGAGCCAGCACTGAAAGTTTTTGACATATATGTAATATCTAAACTCTCAGTGTAGCTGACCAACCTGGTATTCTTACTGCTTAGCTTCTATATAAATGCAGTATCTTTTGTTTTCTTTTAGCTGGTCTCAGTTGACTAATGTAATTGTTTTCTAATTACAGAGAAACAGATATGAGGAACTCCATATTGGCTCAAGTTCTAGACCAGTCTGCCCGTGCGAGATGTAAGTGTGGTTTCATATACTGTATATCCTTCATCCTAATAAAACTCCTCTTTGGAAATTAATAGTGCTGTCTCATTGTATTTTATTTTTTAGTGAGCAATCTTGCCTTGGTGAAGCCCGAAAAGGCAAATGCAGTTGAAAACTATCTCATTCAAATGGCTCGTTTTGGAAAGCTGGGAGGAAAGGTAAGAAAGTGCAGACATGGGGAAAATGTTTTCAAAGCACTCTCTGCGATCCTATGAAAAACTAAATACACCCCACCATTCAGTATCTTGTAGAACCACCTTTAGCAGTAATAAGTTGAAGAAATCATTTTCTCACATCATTGTGGAGAAATTTCACCCCCACACTTGTTTACGGTGTTCCTACAGTCGCTTTGGGTTTGCGGGCATTCATTTATGCACAGGATTTCAATCAGGTTGAAGTCTAGATTGCGACACTTTTGGAGGTTTTTTTTCCAGTCATTCTGTTGTAGATTTGTCACTGTGCTTGGCATCATTATCCTATTGTGTGATCCAGTTTCAGCCAAGCTGTAGTTGTCAGGCAGATTTAGCACTATAATATTTCCGTGTACAGTGGAGTTTGCAGTTAACTCAACTGCAAGGTGCCTGCATGGTGCCAGCAAAGTGCCAAACTTCTGCTTTCAGAGGTGGTCACACTTGCTGACGATCATTTAAGTCCATTTAAGCAGCAAGAGTGTATGTAGTTTTTCACTATGCATTCCTCTCAAAACTCTTTTTTTTCCTCAAATGACTTTAACTTTGAATGCTTCTAGCAAAACATATTGAATAAACTCATTTCCACCTTTGTCAGATTACAGAATCAGGCTTGATTGAGATCCTAGAAAAAGTCAGTCAACAAACAGAAAAAAAGACAACCGTTACAGTAAGTTTCTCTGAAATGTCACATACATTTGATTTTTGTTTTCCTGTAATTTATCTGTATTACATTTCTAATATACTCTACTTGACAGTTCAACAGACGGAGGGTGATGGACTCGGATGATGAGGACGACTATTAACTTTCAACAGGAGCTCTGGAATGAGCAACCAAATCAGAGCAGTTGACATGCTTTGCTGGGACTCTGACAGGATCGCTGACTAGTGTGTTCCTGTTAGCTGAACCCTGAGATGCCACACAAGCTTCTGTGTGTCTTTGGAAACTACCAACCAAGATGGAAAACAAGGACATTTGATATTGCAGCATTTGGTGGGATTGTTGAACACAATGTCAATTAACATTTTCTTATGTAAACTCTTCAATCAAGATGAAGACAAATTTTTACTGCTTATCTGACAGCTCATGGCACTGTTTGACTCTCCTAGTCCATCTCAGTAGTTTCCTTTATTTTCACCACGGTTCATGCATTTTCTTCAAACATTAGAAACTAGTTAAAATGCAGATAATACTGATGTTAATGCATTTTATGTGGGTCTACTCTTTAATTGCCATCTAGGCTACTATCCCATTAGCTGTTATTCTAGGATTCTTGTTGCTGATGTGTACCTTGAGGGTCCACATATAAAGTAAATGAGCCTTAAATTGAAATGTTTTTCCTTATTAGTGGACTGTTTCTAAAATTGTCCTTCACCATTTAAATGAGTGTTAAATCTTTTTTTAAGTTTCCATTTAGAATTAAACACAAATTGTATTCCACTGACTTGAGCATCAAATATCACAACATCAATACACAGTAACGTCCCCACCATACAAAGGTAGACTGTCAGTCTATGGATGAGGTGGATGATTGACTCTGGACTTTTTGCTTTATAAATAAGTTCACATTTTGACGTTCAATTCAGAAGCAGGAGTTAACAGACTGCCAAATGTATCCAACAACTTTTGAAATAAAATGCAAGATGGGGAAATGTGTTTTATATTAATATACTTTATTATCTCTAGAAAAGTCTGTCCGAAATCACTGTAGTCACCACACTGACAGAACTGCTTTTATCGGTGTCAGTACCAATAGTGATGTACAGTATAAGAAAGCATTTAATGTACCTCAGTTGTTCATTACATGTCAAATACAATAACTGAGTACCTTTTCAGCACTGAATCCTGCAGCTTATCTCTAATTCACAATAGTCATTTCCTTCCTGAGCACTTATTAAGATTTTTAATTCATATTGCGTTTATAATTCAAAATTGCGTTGACTTGAATAAACCCTAACACCGACGATAGTGATCTGGGTTGGTCTTACGCTTGCCTCATTTTCACACGACCATGGTCAGATGATTTCTCATTGGCTATTTAGAGTTTAGTGCACTTAGCCCGACTCTGATTGGTGCTCGGGTTAGTCACATGTTCATCACTAACCAATCGGGTGAGTCTGCTAGGAAACGCTACAGTAAGGTGCAGGCAGCCACGCTGAGAGTGCTAAACTCGATGAGAGGGTTATACAGTGTGTTTTAAAAACATTCAGGTAGTCTTTTTATTGGTGTATATGCAGAGCCATGCTGGAGGACAGAACTGAGCAGCCACATATAGTTACATGTACCGCTCCAGTGAATATAGCTGTCATTAAATACTGTAAGTATCACCTCGACTTGTGTTTGAGTTAGCATTGTTTTGTTATGGTTGTATCATTTGGACTCAAGTAAAACTGAATCGACAGTGCCTGTGTGTTAATGTCTGACTGAATATTGGCTAT